AGCGCTTCTTCGCAAACTCGGTATCCCAGCTCTACCGTGTCGGGAAGCAATTTTAATGAAGTCTTTTTTTTGCACCATTTGTATTTGCTTTTGATCCTGCTGACGAAGGTTCGAATAGCTTTTATGTTAAAATTTTAGGCCTTTTTATTTGGCGTAATCCACTGCACGCCAAAATACTGCCAAGCCTTGGCCGCTCAAACTTCTACGTTGATGCTGATTCTTCCAGAATCTATTGGGGCATCTTCCATCATTTGTAACATGTTTGACAATAGATTGCTCGTAAACGACTCTTTAATTCGCTACCTACTTCTATTACATTCTTATTCGTTTAAATTTGTGCATAACCCAGTATATGATGCTCCGTGCAGTCCTGTCGTCGAAAAGGAGTTCTTGTCATACACGTTTCAAAATTTGAGTTTCGATCAAATAATGATGCAAATTTTGCCGATTTCCGAAAGTAATGTTGTGAGAAAAGAAAAGCATGGCCAGTTTCATGAAAATTTGCTCAAACTCCTCAAGTTGGCCATTTCGCGCTCGCCGATTTTAATGTCAGCATACATCAAGGTATCGGATTGCTTAATGTTTATCACAGCTGGCTGTGGCGAAAATTAATCTTGCTCTGGTAAATCCCAGCTCTTCACAATTATTGACTACGCTTTTGTCCTATTCAAGTATATTGCGGTTGTTTGCCTTTTCTTAGATGACATATTATACTCATGGAGCGGCCTTACTTCGATTGAGTCGATGGAGCGTCAGGTTTATCAACTCATTTATTGTAGACATCTAAGGACATTGGCTTTTGGGCTTTTGAATCGCCGTATCAAACATCGGCAAACATTGTGAAAAAATGGCTTGATTTTAGAGAATCCTTAAAATCACTGAGTGAAACGTACTTTTCCTTATGAACCTTATCTCTTCATTAGGTCCGACCCAATGCTATCTGATTTCATTGCATATAAGGATTGCTATCCAGGCTTTAACGCGAAATCGGATGATTTCCACAGCTTTTTAAACATTTCGCTCGCGCTGTTGGTAGAGAAAATATATTCGGAAATCTCTGGACTTTCAAAGTCTTTGAAAGAAGATCAAAAAAGCATCATGGACCACTATGTTCAGTTGTTCAGCCAATTGTCGGATTTTTCATATCTTGAGACTAGCCTAAAGTATTGATACGTCACTTACCGTTAGGCTTGAGTGTATTTCGTTGGCAATCATTGGCTTTACGCTACTTTTTGCCATCAGGGACAACAAAATCAGCGGGTTTGAGCCCACCTTGATCCGGGAAAAGGCATATCAAATGCTATATTCGTACTTTATAAATTATGCCGGGTATTGTGATCTTTTTATGCTCATGATAATAGTAAAAGCCTATCAAACAATATGCTTCTGTACAAAACAAATTCTCTTCGTCGAATTATGAATATCTTTAGACGAGACATCCAATTCCTCAATCCAGAGAACAATTATAAATCAATGAGTCCTGATTCTGAAGAATGTAAGCACCAGTTTAGGGTAACGTTTAGATGCCCATCTGTGCACCACTTCAATTTTGCTGCATTTGTTTGAAAATGAAATTTCAAAGATCAAAAAGAAGGACGAATCGATTCTGGAAACCGTTGGGGT